GCCCAGGTCTCCTTACCCTGCTTTAAAATATTATCTAGCAAACATTAGAAAATGAATTTTCAATCTCTTACACCAGAGTTCCCCAACCTTTCTGGCTTTGTGGACCGGTGGGTGGTGGTGGAGGGAATGGCTCCACGTGAGAGACCAGGAAGAGTGCGTGCGCAGCTCCATTTGTGCAAGTGGCCTGCACACAGGCCTGCCATCTACACAAATGGAACGTGTGTGCATGCGCTCGTCCGCTGCCTGCACTGCTTCTACAGCCTGGTTCTAAATGCTCATGGCCCAATAGTGGGCCACAGCCTGGGGGTTGCAAAATATCGCTTTAACAGGCCTCCATTTAAAATGGACTTCAGGTGCAATGGACAAAATTGGGGACTCGATTTCATCTTCCTGTGGGCCATTAATTTTCCCAAGGGGCCACATGAGAACCTGGGACTGTTGTGGCGGGCTGTTCTCACCACTGTGCCCCCTGCCCTGCACCCCCTGCTGCCTCTGCGCCCCCTCCCCCGATCATTCAGCAACTGGAAAATGTACTCTATGCTTATGGCTCTTCCTGGCCTGAAAGCACTGATTAAAAAACCCCAAAACATTTAAGCTTCTCTTCCCTTAAACAAGGCAAGCTGTATCAAAGATGAATGCAATCTGATCTGCAGGTCTCCTACTTTAGTTAATAAAAAGCACAAGTCTTGCCTTTGAGACAGGCTACCCTAACTTAACTCGGAGCATACACTATCATCAGCTCTAGTCCTGACTCTCCAGCCTTGGATCTTGGAAGAAGAGGAGGTACAGCATTTACCAGTTTCTCCATATCCTATGACCTGCTTACATATGGACATGCTGCTGCTTCTGACAGATGGTTTAAATACAGATAGTACTTGACTTACCACCACAACTGAGCCCAGAATTTCTATTGCTAAGGCAGTTCTTAAGTGAACTGCGCCCCAATTTTATGATTTTTTTTGTCACGCTTATTAAGCGAATCATGTGGTCCTCAAGAGAATCCGGCCTGCTTGTCGGAAGCAGTCTAGGATGGTGATCACGTGACTCTGGGACAGCGAAACTGTCATAAATAAATATATGCATATACATATACATATACATATATATATTTATTTTCGTAGATTTTCACGGGTACAGGTATGCAGGTCTTGGCATATTCGGGTCTTTTCCCGTGTAAGATTGACAGTATCTTCAGGCTGAAGATGACGAGTGGGACCTCGTCGAAACGTCGCCAAGATACTCTCAATCTTACACAGGAAAAGACCCGAATACGCCAAGACCTGCATATATATATATATATCAGATGCCAAGCGCCTGAATTTTGATCGCAGATGCTGCAATGGTTTTAAGTGTGAAAACCGTTCATAAGCCACTTTTTTCATGCCATGGTAACTTCAAAACGGTCACTATACAAATGGTTGTAAGAAGAGGACTGCCTGTATTAGATTCCTTCCTCTTCAATTATCTCATTTGTAGCCTGTCATGCTAGGCCAGGGGTAGGTAACCTTGGCTCTTTTATGACTCGGGGACTTCAACTCCCAAAATTCCTGAGCCAGCATGGCTGTTGAAGTCCCCGAGTCATAAAAGAGCCAAGGTTGCCTACCCCTGTGCTAGGCACAGAAAGGCAGGCATCGGGTTACCACCTGAGTAATGCAATCAGGTGGATTTGGCCCAGGGATGTCCAACCATCCATCTGCCTGAGGAACAGAGACTGTTGGCAAATGATTTCAATTCTCCTCTGCAGCCCTTCTGCGTGCCTGCCCACCTGCCTGAGCAGATTTGGGCGACATGCACCGGAGCTGTGGAAGGAGAAGAGGAAAGAGATGGGTGCCGTGCAACCGAAGATGCAGCTCGGTATTCATTCACCTTCGCACCACTATAAAACAAAAACCTCCTCCTACTTCTTACGCACTGGGAATTCTTCCAGAACTGCATCTTATATATAAATACTACAAAAACAACAACAACAATGCATTGTGGTTTCAGTTCTACGCACACTAAATAATAAATAATACCTACTAAGTGCCACAGGATTCAATTCTAATATGCATAAAGTAATTCGGCATATGTTACAAAATAAGAAATCTTTTTTTTTTGCTAAATGTCTCTTGGAATACGGTGGATGGTAACTACTTGCTACTTTAATTTTTTATCTTGTCCTGCCCCAACTGCAGGTGAAGGCAAACACGGTCACCCGCACCCACCAAGTTCCTTTCTACTAATGGATTGTATACAAGTGCATGCAACCTTGACTTCACACAGAGAAGTTGCTTTGAGATTATTATTAAACGCGGAAGGCGCATTTAACTGTCCCACGGAGCGAATCGCCTGGGGACAAGTGTCCCTCGATGAAGCGCTTGGGAAAAGGGGCAAGGAGAGGAGCCCCGGCAGACTATTGCCGGGGAGGAGTGCTGGCAGAGGGCTAGTCAAAGATGATAGCCCACAGTCGATCAGCTGTGGGGGGCGGGGCGTCATGGAGAAGTGGGCACAGCTATGTGGCTGCTGCCGATTGTCCTAGATCCCTATGAGAAGACAAAAACTATACTCGACAGGTCTTTGATTCAGCAGAGATCTGCTAACATTCTTCAATGATATATGCTCTCATATCATAGACCACATATTATGAGGCTACATTACCTGCAACTTGTCTTACAGCTGGGCATAGGCAGCTTACTGGCTAGATATGGTCCACTAGTCCTATTGTCGTCCCCCCACCCTGCCCCAGACTCTGCAACCAAAATTGGTCAGCATAATGCCCTTTCCCCCCCTCTTCTACGCTTTCTTTCTTTCTTTCGTTTAATATGAATTAGGCTAGAAAACAGGTTCCTGTAAGGATATGTGGGGATGATTTTGGGGGGCGAGGCAAAGGGATACAACCAAGGGAATAGTCAGAGAGTCCACCTAGGAATATTGCAGGGCAGGAAGTTCAGAAGAGAGCCCCTTTCTTGGGCTGTAAAGAAGATAGGGGAGAAATGTAATTTCAGAGTTGCAAAATTATGTTAACGTAGCTTTGCAATAAAGTAAAATAAGCTCGTTGCACCATCTCTCCTATCTTGAAAGGCTGACACCAATCTTGCAAGTCTGAAATTAAATCTCTCGCCCATCTCCTTTACAGCTGAAGAAACTAGGGGAGGTTTCTTCTCAGCTCTCTTGCCCAGCCCACATCTGAATATTCCCTTTGTTACGGTCCAAGGTCATTCCCACATACTATTACAGTGCCCATTATACCTGTATCTCTATTACTCCCTAAAATAAAGGAGCTGATATTGCTGCATGAGCACAGCGCCTCTCACCCCCTACTCCTCTTCGAGGACAAAGAGTGAGGACACAGCTAAATAACTGCCCCTATCATACAATAATGTGAAAAACAACTATTACATAATCTTGTACTTGTAGTACTAGTGCAATAACATAATAATAATAATAATAATAATAATAATAATAATAACAATAACAACAACAACAACAACAAAGTTGGAAGGGACCTTGGAGGTCATCTAGTCCAATACCCTGCTCAGGCAGGAAACCCTATACCATTTCAGACATAAAAAAAGCAAAGAGACAAAAGGGTCACATGGTCTTTTTTAGATGGCTTCCTAATACTTCCTTTCCTGCCTCAGATGCCACAGTATTTGTGTTGGAACAGCCTCCACTCGCCCTTTGGAGTTTATACCTGATGACTAGGAGTGTGCAAGAACCTTCCAAATGCTTGGGAGGACGAGCATCATAACTTTTTAACATAAGTCACGTCACTTTCTGTCAGGTTTCCATGTGAGCCCCAAACCAGACACCGCTATTTTAATGAGTCAACTCCTTAAAGCAGCCAGCTCTTCTGAATCTCTTTAAAGCATGTATAGATCTCTTCAATACTGGATTTCCAATGGCTCATGAAAATTACAGGTAATCCTCGAGGTACGACACATCATTTAGTGACCGTTCGAAGTTACAACAGACCTCCTAAAAGCCATGTACGACCGTGATTTGAAGACAAGAATTTTAGAAAAGGTATCTGATCATTCGCACATACGAATGACCGGACGGCTTCATAACTTTGCAGAGACGCTGCAGCACGCCCACCTATCTCTTCCCTCCCCCCATCCTTGCTCTGCTGGGTCCCCAAAGGCATGGGCCTCCTTTGCCCCCCCCCCCGTTCCACCCCTCACAATGCCTTGCTTACCCTCCGGAGATCTTCAGAATTCAGTATTGTGGGCCGTTCCTCTCTCTGCTTCGCCCCTTTAATTACTTAACCCTTCATTGTCTGTTCTCCCTATCGTTGCAACAGGCTCTTGTTTTTTCCCCCCTTTTAAAACGTTTTCTTGAGGAAATATAGAAACTGCAAAGCACAAACTGTGGCTCATTATCCTGTTTTGAGTTAAAGAGGCCATGCAGAAAGGCAGAAGGAGGGTGAAATGCTGCCTTGCCGAGGTCAGTTTGCAAATGGCTGCTCCATATGGCCCAGTAAGAATAGCCCACAAGACTGAGTTCTGCAGATCTCTGGAAGGTAAGCAAGGCGTTGTGAGGGCTGAAGATGGCTGTGGGGACTCCAAGGAAAGGAAGCAGAGCACGAAGATATCTCAGGGGGCGGGAGAGGCCCTGGGAGGCCCAAGGCAGACATTCCTGAGGCATCCCATGCACATTTAATGACCCCTGCATTCACCCTTACATTCGTTTAACGTCTGCATTGGGATGATCCAGGATGAGGGCTCTTTCACTTAACAAGTTTCAATTAACGTCCTCCCACCTTACGACCGAAATGGGCAGGCTCCATTACTGTCGTAAGTCGAGGATTACCTGTATTGTAGCTTTGGAAGACAAAGATAAATGGCCACTTGTCCTTGGGCTGCGTAAACTCCTTCTTCTATGAAAGTGTTTATTTATTTACTTATAAGATTTATATGCTCCAATCAATACTGATTCTGAACAGCTTTTTTTTTGTAAATAGATTAAAATATAGAAAAATATAATACAAAGTTGAGTGCCAGAGATAAATAACTATTTCA